TACTTTGTGAGAATAATATTTACAAGCTGCTCCATATGAAACTGGACTCTGCTGATATTTAATTAACCTTCAATCAAGAGATGCAGTGCTTTAGCAACAGTTGCTAGTTATAGAGATTATCGAATGAAGAACCTATTGTTTTCCTTCTAGGATATTTTTACGATGTTTGTATGTTACCCTATCACAAGTTTTCAGGGTGGCTCAGATCTACTGGATGTCCTAGTTAGCTACCACTGTTAAACATAAGCTGCTCCCTATGCTGACCAGTTTCTAATAATGTTGCAGTGAACAACCAACTCTTTCTTAAGGTTCAGAATCCACTGTGCCTCTTAACAGTTAAGGGACTGTTGAAGAAGTGCCACTCACAAAAATCAGATATGGCAGTTGCTTGGAATGTAGAAGAACTGAGGTTCTGCTTGAGTCTGTACCCATTTAATTTCTCATGCAGCTGTCTGCAAACATAGCCGTGTGATGTGTTTCTGTACCAGTGGGGGCATTTTCAATTATGAGAAAAGAGTGACAGTTTGAAAAATCTCTCATGTTATAAAAAAAAACTTGGTGCAAGTACAGAAAGAACGTAATCCAGAAAGAAAGTTCCAGGTCACCTTGTACCATGTTGGATTACGTTTATGATTACAGGGAGAGCTTTAAAAAACTCTACTAACTTTGTCTTGCACGATGATAACTTAACATTAGCAATGGAATGCAATCTCAGGATTCATGGGGAAAAGTGGAGGGGGGTTATTCCAAGAAAAAACCCATTGCGTTTTGGCCAAGAAGTATTATATGGTTTCTTCAGAGGCTGTTTAAAGGGTAGGTAGCCCAATACAACTGCCGTTAAAAGTTAAACATAAATATTTAAAAGCAGAAACACAAAATAAAAACCAAAGCGAAACAGAAATGCAAACGTAAATACAAAACTCAAATGGGGCAGCCTTGGGCAGGACAGGGACGTAATGAGTTCAGAGCTCAGTATCTGAAATGGTTTTTCTTGGTGCCCATGTCTTACACTTGACATGCTGCTGGTCTAGCTGCTGGGTAGACTGTTTTACAACAGTTATGTTTATGTTTGATTGCCAAAACCAAAAAGTATTCATTGCTATCTTGCAGATAGCACAAATAAGAGCATGAATGTTTCAATGGACCAGATGAAAATTCAGTTCAATTCCAAATTGTGATTTTAACAGGATAGAATTGTTCAAAATCCATTTTTAAACTCCAGCATGATGCATGAGCTGCTGTGAGCTCCCTTGATAAGATGGTTATGTGGCCTAATCCTCCACAAAGAAATTAGGAGTGGAACCTCCTTTGGGGAGGGTGCGCTGGGTGTTGAAGGAAGCCGCAGATCCCTATGAGTTTGTCAAAGTTTAGGTAGGTAGTGCTGTTGATTCCTATCTGCTTCATTTGCCCTTTCCTCCTGAAGGCCTACCTGCCCCCAAGCCACACCGGCCATCCTGTCAGCCCTCAAAAGTAGAAGATCATGGTGGTCAAAGCTGGGCCTTGGAGATGCCTGTGGGGTCTCCTCTGAGGGACAATCTTCTTCCTGGTCTTCTTCTTGGTCATCGTTGTCTTCTTCTTCTCCCCTACCAGTGAAGGGCAACTGGATGTGGGGCTGCCCAGGATGGAAATGGTACTCCACCCACTGCTGGCCAAAGAATTCCTCCTGTCAACATTGGATGTTTTCTCGATGGAGGTTGGTGAAAGCAGCTTTGTGGTGTGCCAAGTCTCACAAGGGGTCCCTTTGCTGTTGTTGATGCATGGGGGCTTCTGCTTCAAGAGGTTGGCTCCTTAATGTTTCAAGAAGTGGAGCCCTTTGTAATGCAATGAGGACTGCGGCCAAAAGGAAAGAGGTCTTCCTCCCTCCCGAGCCTTGTATGGCTACCCCACAGAAATAGCACACTAATTACCAATAATAATTATAAATGAAAATATGTAAGCAATACTTCTAATGGTTATTTATCCAGGAAAAGAAGCAAACCACTGAATAAAATACAGTATATTCTGGCGTATAAGACTACTTTTTAACCCAAGAAAATCTTCTCAAAAGTCAGGGGTCATCTTATACGTGGGTGTAGTCTTATGCATGGGAGTCGTCTTAACTCTATATTTTAACTGGAAAAGTTGGGGGTCGTCTTATACACCCAGTCGCCTTATATGCCGGAATATACGGTAAATATATATTAGCAGTAGTAAATATACCACAATCATGTTAATATTAAAAGATTTGAGAACAGTGCTAGTAAATATACTCAAAAAAGAAGTCAATCAATACATTGTTATAATGATAATAAACTCCAAATACTCCATAAATATCTTGAAATGATAGTAATGCTATATAGTAAATAGTAATAATAATTACTGTATAAAAAGCCAGAAAGCAGATTAAATAATAAGAAAAATGCAAAAAAAAATGTGAATAAGGCAAACAGGAGAAAAGGGCTAGGCCAGTGGTTCCCAACAATTTTTTGACCAGGGTCCACTTGACGAGGACCCACTTTGACCAGGACCCACTTGACCAGGGCCTACTTGACAAGGGCCCACTTTGACCAGGGACCACTCTCCAACATTAGTACCAAAAGTGGTAGGGTTGGTTAGCTCTGCAGAAAGGAGCAGAAATAAAATAAAATAAAATAAAATAAAATAAAATAAAATAAAATAAAATAAAATAAACAAAACAAAACAAAACAAAACAAAACAAAACAAAACAAAACAATAAAGAAAGAGGAAGGAAGTTCACAGACTGGATGTTTGTCCTCACGGCCTACTAATGGGCTGTGGCCCACGGGTTGAGAACCACTGGGCTAGGGGAAGGAGAAGGTCAGTCTCTGGCTGAAAAGATTGCGAGATTGCAGTTGGTTAGTTACTGGAGAGAAGGATTCTGATGTCAGAAGGAAAGAAGGGGAAAGGGAGGGAGGGACTTTCCTGAAGGGGAGGCAAGGTGGTGTCAGAAGAAGGGCAGGAGGATAAGAGAGGAAGGGAGGGGATTGTTGGTACCTAAAACTCATACACTTTTGCATTTTGCTGAATTTTAACTTTTAATCTCACGTGCAAGCATTCAAAGTTGTATTATTTTAACCTTTCCAAATCATTTTGTCAAGGATGTAAAAGAAAACCCTAAAAGAAAACCCTAATTTAAGTGTGACCTCAGATAGTTATTGAAAGTGATAGGTCATACTAAGAAATAGTAGCTCATTAAGGCTATTTCTTGTGATTCAAAGTGGCTAGAAAGAGAGGATATATCGTAAGCATTTTACTATAGCAACTCATGGGTTTAAAGAGTTTCTTAATTACTGGTGCCACACAAACACAACCCATTCCAAACTGTGCAGCTTCTAATTTGGCTTGGCATACTATAGGGCAAAAAAATAATATTTGACTGAGGTGTAAAGGCATTATGAATGTTGCAATCAACACGGCTTTATAAAAGCATTCAAAATAAGATACTCCACACTGTGTTTCTAGGAATTGAAACAAATCATGCTGTCTGGAATTCAGGCTGCCAGAGTCAACAGTAGAGCTTTTTTTAACAGAAGATATTATTTGCTAACAATGTTCATATAAATATTTTGGAAAAGCATTTTTATCTCTATGGAAAATGTCTAGACATTAGTATTTATAATCTAAAATACGTATTTTGTCACTGAATTTATGATAGGTATTTATGATCCATGATTCAGACACACATCTAGAGAGTGCTGTTTTTCTTTGAAGGACTGCCTTTTCTTTTGAACTTGTCCACTCCTTGAAATCTGTCACAGGAATTCTTTTTTTGTTTTTAAAGGCAAGATGGAAGGGAACTGTCTTAGATTGTGGCACCTTAATTCTCAATAAGGTCCATTTTGTAAAGTTTGAGAGACACCTAAACAAATGTCATTCAAGCATTAGGTTAACGCCCATGGTTTTCAGCTAAATCTTTTGGAAGCTTTAGTAAGTTTGAGCTACTGTGAGCACAAAAAGTTGCCAAAAATTAAATTAGCTACTACTTTTTTGTGGATGTGTTTTTAATTCAATTTCATTTTAAAGTTCTAATTTGCTGGTTGTATTTTATTATTATTTTTAATATGTTTACATCTTGTGTGAAGTTTAATTGTCAAGTTGCATTTTTTTTCATATCAAGAGTGACTTGAGAAACTGCAAATCACTTCTGTTGTGAGTGAATTGACCGTCTGCAAGGACGTTGCCCAGGGGATGCCCGGATGTTTGATGTTTCACCATCCTTGTGGGAGGCTTCTCTCACATCCCCAGGTTCGAACCACTGACCTGTCAGTCAGCAGTCCTGCTGGCACAAGGGTTTAACCAATTGCGCCACCAAGGCTCCTATCAAGTTGCATGAAAAGCCACATACCAGATTCTTGATTCTTGAAGACTGCAGCACCTCAATAATACAGGGTGAGGCAGCATAACTTCCTTTTTTCAAAACTTAATAAAACCCATTGTATGAATCAGAAATTTTAATTTTTTTATAATGTAGGCGCATACCTAAACTTTTGTTTTATGTAGTTTCGAAGATCAAATTAGGTAGGTGACATCCCCCATTCTCCATTCACTGAGTAAACCGATTTCTGGTGTTTGTCATACTCTTGCCAGCATAGCAGACGTTATGTTGGCAATTTCTTCCTGGATGTTGGTCTTCAAATCTTGTAGGGTCCTTCGACGGTTCACATAAACATGGGATTTCAAAAAAACCCATAGAAAAAAATCACAACGGGCCAAATCTGGAGAGCGGGCTGGCCACTCCACATCTGCTTGAAAAGTAGGCCTCAACGGCAAAAGCACGCTCCGCACTGTTCCAACGCATGATGGCGACTGAACTGTGCCAGGACAAAACTTCCTAGTGGCCTCTCGAACGAGACCACTAGCGCTCCGCTACATCTTCAACCGATTGAATGGCGTGCATTTTAAAAAAGGAAGTTATGCTGCCTCACCCTGTAGTAACTACAATGAAGAATTATCCAAGCCAAAACCATCCGTCAAGTAAGAAAGAAATATGGCAAGACATATACATCAACATCTTGTTTATTTTGGCACTGTTTTCTCATTCATTATTTCCTATACATATTTTGGAGTTGTCAAGAGAGTATGATTTGGTCACTAAGGAGAAATCCTTGTCTGTATGCTCAGCTCATGATCTTGGAAACATCAAGACGTGGAGGTGATCCTAGCTTCTCGAAGAAGTCACAACAGCATAATTATTGGCAGATTTTACAAGGCTAATGAGGCTTCAAGTAAGGCCTTGGAGGTGCCGAGAATTCCTGCCATTGGAAGGCCACCTCAGCTAAATACATTAAGTGGCTCACCACCAGAAGGAGAGCCAACAAATCATGGCCTCCAAAAGTTATGCATGGAATAAATGCAATCTGAAACAATTGCTTGTATCAACAAAATCACAGATCATAAGGTATTTAAAGTATCACTACATTAAAAGCATTAAAAGACACCCTCAAGTTCCATTAAAAGCAATAAAAATTCATCTTGGGGAAAAAAGTTGAGATAGTTGAATAAAGCCAGCTTTAATTTCAAGTTCTTCCATTAAGAATGATAAGAGTCTCACTGAAACAATTGTTGGATTATAGAGGAATCCACTTCTCCCAGCTTCAAACTATCACATAGAGTCTCCAAAGTCGCTTTATTCCCAAAACGCTGCCTCCATAAAATGAAGGCATTCACAATCTGTGACTGAATATTGTAAGGATGATTGGCTTTGCAACGATAAATGTCAGTTTGTGTCAAGCCCAGAGACAACACAATGAACTCCCATTCAGATCCAAGTCCTCTAGCAAGTTTGTTAATCTGCTGGTCTGTTGGTGGGTTTTTCAAAGTGTGCTGCAAAATCCCAGGTATTTCATTATCTAGAAAAAGGAAAAAAAAGAGACAGAGAAATTGCACTGAAATTCCACATAGTATAAGAAAAAGAAAACTTTAGTGTAGACCTCAGAACGAATGCACTTGAATCATATGCTAACAAGATTAATCAGATGGCATTATAATTAAATATATTGAAATATCTATGTGGCAAAAAAAGTCCATTTAAGGCTGTACTAGAATGATCCAACCCCAAATTTTCCACTCAATCCAACATTTCAATAGAGGTATCTGCGTTTACGATGGGCCAGGATGGTTCTCTATCAGTCATTTGATGCACAATTCCAGCTACTTCTAGTTTGTACTGGGTGACAAGTACATGAGAAAGTTATTCAGCAGCCAAAAAAAAAAAATTCTAGCTGTACTTTTCAAACAAGGTCAGCTCTCTAGAATACCATTTAAAATTTTTCTCCCTTCTAAAGTGATGTGTTCTTTCCAAGCATGTAAATAATTTTGAGCATCAGCTGAAATTTATTTTTCCAAACAAAGCATACAAAAAAAATCAATTTTCTTGCTCCTGAAGTAGAGGAAAGCTCCGCCACATCACATTGCAGAGTCTAAATTTAAATGGCTGCAAATAATTCCCCCAATTTTAATTTTAAGACTCCTACCACACACATTGCATAACTTTCAACTTTTGGGAACTGCTATTCACTTCCATTTGTCTTTTGTAAAAACTAGTCGGATTAAAAAAATGGATATCTTGGTAGCTTGCATTTCTACAATTGTATGATTTTGTTTACTCTGTTTGTATTTCTCAATGTAGGAATTACCATAATACAAATTTGTGGGGGGGGGGGGTGCTCAGAAGATAACAAAAGCTTTCAATTGGGTTATTAAAAGAGGAGGTGGGGAGGGATTTCAAAATTTGGAAAAGTCACTTTCTTGGGCAATACATTCCATAACTCTCATGCTAGCACAAATACTGGCTACAGAGCTTGGGAGGGTCCAAGATTAGCAGGCTAGAAAATTAAAGTTTTTGAAGTCTTCACATTGTCTACTAAAATTTCATAGGCTCTGAACCTTGAAGCTATTTCCTTCTCTTGAAGCTCAGAATGTTGAAAATTAATATTAGAACCAGCATCTTTTCCATTTATGGGATCAACACATTAAGAACTGATCCTTCACTTCTGTTGCCTTGGAAACTGCATTAATGAGGACTAATTATAAGTGTGGGATCAGAATGCTGGGTGTAGTGCAAGAGACCAGGCAGCTCCTTGCAAAATAAGCTCATTGTGATGCCTCCCTCAAAAACCCCACGAGGTCCACAGCCACCATCAAAGGAATGCAACAGCATCAACCAAAATAGAACTCCACAAATGTTGTGGAAATAATTTTTAGAAATTGCCTTTATGGCAGATATAATCTGCTTAGCAGATGGTCTGAGCCACATAGGTATGTTACAAAGAATTATGTAGAAGCAAAAGACAGCTGGGGCTCTTTCACGTTGTATAATGATAGCTTTGACTGCCATGGCACTTTGACTGCCATGGCTACATCCTATGGAATCCTGGGATTTATAGACTAGTGAGGAACTAGAACTATTTAGCTGAGAATTGGTTTATTTATTTATTTATTTTTTTATTTATTTATTTATAGTATTTATATACCGCTTTCCTTACCCCTGGGGGCATTCAAAGCGGTATACACAAAAATAATGGCAAAATTCAATGCCTTACATACATAAACCAAAACTCAAATCAACAACATATAACTAGGCATAAAATCAATAGGACAATTCACCATAAGATAAGATAAAAGGACATTCAAAACATGAAATATAAGAATTAAAACACCTACTAAAAGCATAAAAATTACATGATTGCTAGTCATGTGGWGAGTGCTATACGCCTGATACTAATACTTGAAGTCAGAATGCAAGAAAGTAATATACGCAAGAATTCCTGCTGGCCATCTGCCTGTCCACCTCCCCCCATCAACCCCCCCTCCCAAAACAGGTTTTGTTTAGCAAATGAACAAAGAAAGAGAGATATTCAACRGTGTTCTAAAACCAGAGGACCATTAACAGGACACAATGATAGCACTCAGATTATCATGCTAGCACTCCATGAATCCTGCAATTGCTAGGTTCATTAGGTCTCTGAAATTATTATATGGACACTGTCCGGGCCCAAGAAGCACCCCGTCTGATCCCACCCCAGCTCTTTCTTGCCCTTGGGGGCCCTCCCAGGTGGGGCCAGGCCTTCGCAGAAACAGGACCCCCTCCAGCCACTCCTTCCCAGGAGGGAGGCAGAGGGGGCGTTGCCCAGCTTCAGTCTGGCCACCCTGGAGGCCCACACAGGCAGGGCCAGGCCTGCCCCCCAGGAAGGGAGGCAGCGGCCATGAAAGCAATAGCTTGGAACAGAAGTAGCAAGCGATGCATACTTTATACACTCTTAGAGATTGGGCTGTGTATTTGGAAACAATCATTAAGAAAACCTGCAAGGTTAATTCTCTGTGAAAAGAATATTGCAAAGAACAGAAGAAATTAAGAGAGAGAAAGATTGTGCACAAACATAACATACAACAAATTTAGTTAAAATGCTTTTCACCTGGATAGTGGAAAAAACGCTTGTGCCTGTCTCTGGGCATTTACTTCGTTTCCTGATTGTGATCAAAACAGAATTTCCATAAGCAGGACACAGGAGTGCATAAGCAAGCAGTTTTAGAGTTAAATCTATGCAAAAGCTGCTATTTGCTAATGGAATACAGTGGGAATGTCTCCAGTGATTCCTAAAAGGCCATATGTTCCTCGAAGTCTTGCCACCATAGCAACAACTCACCGCTTGTTTTGTTTCCAGGAAAGCACTCATCTGTGCTGTTTTGCTTTAGCCTTTATTAGATGGTAAACTTGGCGATAAAAGAATGCCACCCTTACTCTCTAACACCACTTTCACCATTGCTTTTATAACTCTGTACTATGACCACTCCAATCAAGTCATGAGAATCAAGTTCTATCTCAAATGTTTTTGCCAGTTTCATTTCCTTATTGCAGTAGGAAAGGATAAAAGTGACCTTAGCAAAACATTTAGAAAAATGTTGCTCAAATGCATGAAGTATATTTCTGCAGTAAGAAACACAGAACTAATGGCACTGTATATGAGAAAATATTTCCTATGTGCAATATATGACTACATTGAGCAGTACTGAGATTATATATACATGTAGTTTGAATTAATTTCCATTGTAAGGACCTCAAAGAGGCCAAATTAAAGCTTGGCCCAACATTTGTCTTGTCTGGTCACAATCCCATATCGAACAGAATTGACAACAATAAACAATGTAAATTAAAAATTATGATAAAAATAGTTCTACACCTGAGTTAGAAGTGTGTTACCTTGCTGAAGTTGACATCACCACCATGATCCTATGGTCACTAATGCAGTTCTACAAATGAAGAAGCATTATTGTTAATGGAACAAATGGACTCTGTAAAAGCTGTGCAAGATCCTATGCTTGCTTTTTCCTTAGCAGAGCACCATTAAAATCATTGATTGATTTTGCTCAAGACAAGTGGCTACTCTTAGGACAGAATAAAAAGTAAGTTGACAAGGGGGTGCATTTTAATCACTCTATTGAACATTGACAAAGCAATTATAATCACAAATGATTTACGTAACTTTAATGAAGACATTGAAATAGGGTCTGGAATATAGGAAAACTTTATTAGTACCACAAACAGATAAGACATTTCAAGAAAAAGCATTAAAAGCATTACTACTTCACACTATAGGGTAACAAATATTATGAACTTCAATATCTGGAAAACAAATAGATTAGCAAACGCAATGAAGAGCTGAGGGGTACGATGTTTCAGAAAGTTCAGGATCAGTTTTTAGACTCCAGCATGATGCATGGGCTGCAGTGAGCTCCCAAAAGGAATAAAAAGACCTGACAAGGTATGGTTGGCATGCCTCTCTTCATAAAGTGATTTTCTGATCTGTTGTTTATTTGTTCAGTCGTTTCTGACTCTTCATGGCCTCATGGACCAGCGAATGCCAGAGCTCCCTGTTGGTTGTCACCATCCCCTGCTCCTTCAAGGTCACACAAGGAAGTGGGTGAAGTAGAACCTTCTTTGGGGCAGAGACACTGGGGTTGAGGGAGGCTGAGGCTCCCTTTGAGTTGGAGAAAGCTTAGGCAGGAAGGGTTGTTGTTTCTAGTCTTCCTCCTTTCCCCTTTCCTCCTGAAGGGCCTCCCATGCCACACAGGCTGTCCTGCCAGGCATCAAAGGTGAAAAATCTTGGTGGTCTGAGCTGGGACTTGGAGGTGGCTGCCTGTGGGGTCTCCCCTGAGGGACTTGCTTGATCTTCTTCTTCTTTTCTCTCCTCTGCCAGTGAGGCCAACTGGATGTGGGGTTGCTCAGGGCAGAAATGGTATCCTCCTACTGCTGGCATTGCCTCTTCTTTTGATGGATTTTGGCCCGAACTGCTTTTTGGGGTGTCAGACCCCACAAGGGGCACCATTGCTATTGTTGCTGCATGGGACCTTCTTCCTAGTCAAGAGGTTTTCTCCTTGATGTTCTGATAAGGATACGAAGTTGTGCCCATATGGGGATTGGGGCCAGAAGGTAAGAGGTCCCTCTCTTCCGATCCTTGCATGGCTACCCCACAAAAATAGCAAACTAATAATAATAAATTTCCTAATATATTTGTATATTCAGAAGAAGCAGAAAAAAGTAATAATAACAAGAGTACTGCTAAATATTTTGAAACAAGTAATAGTAATAGTAAATTGTAAAAAAAAATTACAAAGTAAGTCAGAAATTATACTAAATATGAAGAAAATTGCAACAAATAATGCGAAAGGCTAAAGGGGGGGGGGGGCTGAATAAGGAAAACAGGAGGAAAGGCCTAGGGAAGGCAAAGACCAAGATCAGGAAAATGGCTGAAGAGACTGTGAGGCGCCGGCGTCAGTTAGTCTGTTGTACAGCAGAATATCGGATGCTTTACTCTGGATCAGTGAATCCCCCATTATTGCTGACTGAAGCCGCATTTAACGTGTCTTTGTTTGAGGATTACCCATGAACCGAACTATACAAGGAACTGCTTTATTTATTTATTTATTTATTAATGCGCTTGTATACCGCTAATATCTCAGCCTAAATCGGCGACTCATTGCGGTTTACAACAGTTAAAAAACAATATTCAATTTAAAAGCATAAAACACATATACAATACAAGTTATTGGGCCACCAATAACAATCCCATGCATCTCGTAACTGAAATCGCAATCCAAAATTCGTCGTCCATGATTACCCATCCTTTAGTCATCAAAATTCGTTGCAACAGATTAACCGAATGCTTGTTTAAACATCCATGTCTTCAATCTTTTCCGAAACACCATCAGCGAAGGGGCTGATTGTACCTCTATGGGGAGGGTGTTCCAAAGCCGAGGGGCCACCACAGAAAAGGCCCTGTCTCTCGTTCCCACCAGCCGCACTTGTGAAGCACTTTGTTGAGGGGCTCATAAAAGGGCCAGCTTGGTAGGCTATATTGCCAACAGCAAAACTAGTTGAGCACCATATATGTCTTATCCTCAACTGAGTCATTCCAGCAGAGATCCAGCAGTCCAGTCTGGCCCAGTAAGACCTGAGGAAATCCCTGTCCATGGCGCAGAAGATTGCCATAAGGCTGCAGGCTATGGTACGGACCAGGTACTTCGAGTGGCCCAAAAGGTGGCTCAGTGCCTGGGATGTTGAGCCAGATAAGAGTTTCTCTAGAAAAGGCAGGTGAGATGGACTGGCCCAAAATACATGGGTGAGGAGGGTGAACAAGTGTGCAAGTAGGGGTAGTTGGTCTGATAGGCAAACAGATAACAAGAAACCTGCTTCCATCTATTCCTGCTTCCATTTATTTCTTCAAGTAATCATCTGTTAGATCCTGGGAGGGGTTAGGATACTGGATACTAGATAATTAGATTCCTTTTTTGTTTACTGTAACACGTTTTTTGTGAGTTTCCAACTCTGCTCTTGCCGAGAATAGGGCACCTGAGAGAGTTAGCTTCGGGGACAGAACAGGATGTATATAATTAGGTTCAGATTGTGCAATTCATAATGCTCAGAGAGAACAGTTATTTATTTTTTTAAAGTTCTGGTTATCACACACTGAGCTCTTGAAATGCACAAGCCCTTTCCTTCCCGCTATTTAAAGTAATTAAAGTATTGCGTAGAATCTTCTGGAGGACCTAGTATGTTTCTAGAGAGACTATTTCCTTTCCTGAGCACAGGTAAGGAAAACCATAGATGTGTGTTCTGCTTTTACAGGGATCCAGCTGTTTGCATGAATGCAACTTGGGCATACTTGTAGAACAAAACTGTGCAAGTCTATTTATTTGCTTTTCTTTTATTCCGCTTGAATGCAGGAAGGTCTTTGGTCTTATATATCTCCACTACTTGTAGGATTTAATTTATATCTCTTTTCTTTTGATTTTTAATCCTTGACCTGGAAGCAAATACTCATCTGCCCTGCGATCTGAAAGAAATCATACTTTTTCATTGGACTAATTGGTGGAGTCACAACTACTTTTTCCAGCTAGGAACAATATAGACTTTTATTGAAAATGTTTGCTTAGTAACTGGTGTATAAGGTAAAGGTAAAGATTGTCCCCTGACATTAAGACCAGTCGTGTCTCTGGGGTGTGGTGCTCATCTCCATTTCTAAGCCAAAGAGCCGGCGTTGTCCGTAGACATCTCCAATGTCATGTGGCCGGCATTACTGCATGGAACGCCATTACCTTCCCACCGGAGTAGGACCTATTTCTACTCACATTTGCATGTTTTCAAACTGCTAGGTTGGCAGAACTGGTGTATAGTTCCCAGGAAAGTTAAATATGGTTCTTTAATCTCTAAATCACTGCTTCTTAAACTGTGGATCTTGACTCCAAATGGGGGTCCCCTTAGCTCAGTGTTTGACAACAGTAAAAGATTTCTGAATGCCACCCATTTAAACAAACCTGTCAGCAAGAGTGTGCAGTTTTTACATTGGACTCTGCAGGAAAGGCTTCAACTGTACCCCACAAAAAAGAGACCCAGCTTGTTTAGCAAGCCTTGCAAATACTGATTTATTTTCAATAAATGTTTGGGGTTTTAAAAACTTATTTTGTATACCAATATACCTGGGGTCACGTAAAAATTTCTCAGGTCAAATGGGGACCACGAGTGGAAAACGTTTAAGAAGCCCTGCTCTAAATCATACTCTTGGGCTGAAAGGAATGGCAAAAGCCCAATAAATGATTAAATAAATTGAAGTATGGGAAATATGCTACAAAAATAAAGATGTTTTGGCTTAAGAAGCTCTGCGTAAAGAGAAACTGAGGTGTAACTTTAATTTGCTATGACAGCGGTGCCATTTCTCATTAAGGTCAGTTTTAGGTACTTGTCTATCAGTCCAGCATTGGTTTCACAGAAGCTGAACAGAATCATTTCTATGATTTTATGTACAGATACTGAAAATGTGGACGTTAGCAGACATATGTCACTGAGCTCTGTAAAACCCATGTATTTGCCTTAGAGCTCAGAAAAGTTAATTCTTTAAATTAAAACTCCCAGACTTCTCTAGGCAGCATGAAGAATTCTGTTTACCACACTTCAGCTGTAGGTTTATTCAGATAACGGAGGACACTGGAAACTTCGCGTCTCAGTATGTGGTCATGGCATTCTTTTTTTTCCCATTTACCCAAATGGTTTTTGCCCAGACCAGTAGTTCTCAAAGTGTTCTCCATGGAGGTCTTAGGGCTCCACAAAGCATCCTGAAGGGTTCTGCGGTTCCCTTTTCCTCCTCCCTCCCCCTCCTCCCCCTCCAAGCTTTCCCTCCTCTTTTCTGCTCATTCTCCTTCCCCACCTCCCTCACCACCAAAAGCCTTTTTCCTTGACCCCCTTGCCCCCAAATCCTTTTTTCCTCACTTCCCTTGCCTCTAAAAGCAATTCTATGAAATATCAATGTGTTGTAGCCTTAATGGTTGTACATGTGTTGTATGATACATTCCATTTTTATTCAACAGGCTGTTAACATAAGTCTTCTTATATATATAACTAGCTGTGCCCTGCCACGCGTTGCTGTGGCCTATAGTAAAACTTATCAAAGTTGAGGTAGATATCTGGACTATTATGAAAGAGAGGTACCTACCTATTCCTTCCCCCTTTTCCTCCCCCTTTCTCTCCTTTCTTCCTTCTCTACCTCCTTCTTTCTTTCCTTCTTTCACTACTTGGTTTCATCCTTCTCTCTTTCCTTCATTCCCTCCCCCCCCTTTCTTCCTTTGCCTTTCTTCCCTCCCTGTTTGCTTCCTTCTTTCACTTTTTATTTCCTTTTATTTCACCACCATCATAACAATAACAATAATGCAATGCATTGCCTCTGGGACCTGACACCTCTCCCATTCCCCCAGAGTCT